CTCCCTGCAGGGCCTGCTGTGTAGCGGGGCCTCACCAGCCTGGCTAGTACAGCTCTTGTCCCTGGAGGGCAGGCCCATGGCTGCACCAATTAAACAGGATTTTACGTCCCTAGTATCGGGTTAACCTGTAAAGTGTTGGGTCTTTCTCCCTCTTCCCTCCCCTCCCCCAAGTGGCTCATCCTCTTTCTTGGTTTTTGTTCATCCAGAATTAGTTTGACTTTCCTGCTCTCTCCTGATGCTCTTGTATAAAGAGCAACTGGAGGAAAATGCTCCCATCGCCTGGCTTGAATCTAAACTCCTTTCATGCTGCTTAGAAACTTCCTTGGCCGGTTAATGTCCGGTCACAGTTCGATTTCTTCGTGTCTCACCTCTCCACTCACTGATCCTGTGTCGATGCCATTGGACAGCACTGCCAGCGTCACAAACCCCTCCAAGGTAACGGAGCGATGTCTGATCGCTGGGATGTTACTGCACTGGGCTAGATGAGAGGTGAAGGAGAAAATTGCAGATGGAATGCAGAGAACGCAACTGGTGGCTTAGGGAAGTGTCCTTTGTACAAGTCATTCCTGTCTTATGATGGTTGTCCTTGTTTGAGAGCCCATTTTAAACCTAGAACATGGTTATCTAGAAAGCCTCTTCAGTTGCATTTGCTCTTGTGAAAGTGCTCCCAAGCAGATGCCATTCAAACACAGAGACTCCGATCTAGCAAGGTACCTTCAGGAGCTGGTCTGCAATCCCTGGATAGCAACGTGTGCTATTCTTCCTCCTGCTAAGGAGAATGCAGGTCCCCTCTCTTCTGTTGTCTTTATAAACAACAAAAACTTCAGGCCTTTGAGCAAATCAGGCCTTTGAGCTTTCCTGGGCTCTGGATTTTATGGCTGTTCAGTTTAGTGTTTGCTTCTTTTCTGGCCAGTGAATTCTATAAAATGACATACACTCTCAGCAGATTATTTTTTGTTAAAGTTTGAAAATGAGGAAATTGGGAAATGGCAGAGTAGTGAGGCAATACAATGATTCCAGTGAAGTTAGGGACAACTTACTCCATCCTGTTACATAGTGTTATCTGCAGCTCTGTTTACACAGGGCTATTTACCAGTCTGACAACATAGCTGCAGACTAGTGAAATCAAATATTTGCAGTTCTGTATATTCCCTGCCCTACAGGAGTAGGGGGATGCTGCTGTCCCAGCTATATGGTCTCGTGTGCCTGGGAGTGCTCATAGTGTTGTTTGCCAGGAAAGTGATTAAATGTAACAAGTGGTGTCCTTGCTTGCTACTAAATACAAAATGTTCTGTCTAATCATGACGCATCTAATGGATTGGACACTTCTGAGTGTGACACCGTAGTAAATTATTTCCTTCCCCAAACACTAGCTACATCTGATTTGCTTGGTGACTTGTTTTAAGGGAATGAATGTCATCGCTACATGAATACAACAGATGCAGTCCTTCCTTTTTTAGGGCCCATATCAGTAATTTTCAGGTAATGGCCCAATGTCAGTTTCCTAGTTTGACCTCAAAGCTTTAAAAAAAAAAATCCTCTGGCCTAAGTGGGCAATGTGAAACTTCTGACCAAAAGGAGATTGTCAAAACCCAGAACTGGGGAAGGCGTCAAAATTAAGGCTTAAGAGTGTAAACTGTCTCTACCCTAAAGTTGAGTGTTGCTACGTTGGTTCTCTTATGGTTTTTCAGCTGATCTCTGATCTGTCCTGCAAATCTCTTTGCTTTTTAGTTTTCCCTTTGCCTGCATAGAATTTCTGAGGGAACTTGCTGATCCACGAGGAGGAGAAAATGCAAGTGTGGAGCAACATAGAGCCATATCCTCACTTTCCCATGGGACTTACAGGATTCTATTGGAAGAGACAACTAATTAGCTGATGTGATTGCCAAAAGTGTCTAGAACTCAAAACACAGCAATGGATCATGCTAGTGTCATATTGCTAGTGGTGTATTTCATTCACAGGTATCTGTTCAGAGCTAGATGCAAGGAAGAAGTGTTACTCTACCTGTAAGGGTAAAATTGTGTTAAGTGCTAGGCTCAGTGTCTGCCCTTATGTCCCCTAGCTCAGGAATCCCATGGGTAGATGATGTTGGCGTGTGTCACATTTTTATGCAGCCTGGGGCATACAAATGTTATCTGCGGCACCTCATTAGAGAGGGTCTCAGGGACTCAAACAGGCTGAGGAGGTAGTGGTGGGGCTTGTGGTAAAGTCTCAAAAAGGCGGTTTAATGAGTTGCTTGTTCTTAATTTGCATCAAATGCCCCCACGGTGTTGGTTGGGCACATAAAAATCACTAACTAAAAACTAATAGGAAACCTGTGTGCATGCTGTCGCATGTGTTGCATGAGTGACAGCTGGATTAAAGCCCTAACCCTGGCAAAAACACAAGTGTCCTGCCAAAGCGCTGGAAATGTCAGTGCTTTTGTCGGAACACTTGTCATGCAACAGTTGTCTTGGTATTTCGGCCTGTCAAGAAGCTAAACTGGCTCCTGGGTTGGTCAACAACAGGTCTAAATTTTCCTGGGCAAGGGAGGACCCTGCTGTCTCAACGTGTTCTCGTTCTGTTCTCATTCCGTGCTGGCTGGGGGCTTCTTCGCTGGCCCTTCAAACCAAGGAATTTGCCTCCTAACTGGAGACTTGCTGCAAGTGATCCTTCTGCTGCCTGATCCCTTCCTGCCCATGGTCTTGAAAGGCAAGATGCCATTGCTTGGCCAGCTGGGAAAATGGGAATCCCTTCAATTGCCAGTGACAAAAGGTGACCACTGTCCCAGCTCCTGACTGATGCTTGCCATGGTGGGCCAGCTGTGACCTTCACTGAGGGGTGATCTTGCTCTCCTTTGGCTGCGGGGGGTATCCAGCTAATGATTAAGAGCCTCAGTGCAGAGTCCAAGCCACTTAGGCCCTCCCTCCCTCTCCCTTGCTCTTTCAACTTCCAAGTAATTAGAGAAGAGTTGACTCTGCTGCTGTAATTCTGCAGTGTTGCAAGAGCTGAATCAAGGGGCTAAAGTCCTGGTAAACAGGCCACAGCCCTCTGCAACCGCTGGGGCCATTGTCACCCTAAGGGAGGGGGAGGTATGGAAATAAGCCGGTGGTTAGCTTGCAGGGACATTGTCGTTTCGCTCTCATAGAATGAATTGTCCTGCCTAAATAAAGCGGCACATGCAGAAGGAGATGAGGCCATGGTGTGGGAAAGGTGCGGTAAAGAGCATTATAAATCGTTGTTTTGTTTTCAGCCTTCCCAATTAATACATTAGACATAAAGGACAGGAGTGGGTAGTTACATGATGGCGACTGTACCACAGCATCATGATCTGGTAGGCAGCATTTCCTCTCTTCCCATCTTTCAAGCGGCTTAGTCTTTCAGTGGGAACCGTGCCTTAGAACTCAGGAGCTACCTCTAGGGCTGCTGATCTATTCTTCCCACCGGCTAGGATTCAACGTGTTAAATTGGCCAGTAAAAACCAAGCACTTCTCCATGATCTGAGAGGGCTCAGCTAGCTTAGGCACAGTGAAGGGGCAGTGCTTGCAGCTGCAGAAATGGATCCGGTGGGGGCAAGAAGCAACAGGTCTTTTTGGCATCATAGATGACTGAAACCACAAGGGAAGAGTTTGCCTCACTGGAACAGCAAGGCTAAATTTTCTCTTCCGTCTGGCTTCCAAAAGCAAGCACGGTAACTGCTGACAGTTGGGCATTACCATAACAGCATGGTGTTGATTGTGAAGCCGCAGTATGCGTCCGATGGCCCACGAAGAGCAATATGGCACAAGAGCACCTGTTGCTCTGGAGGAGTTTCAGATCCCATGTGCTGTAGCCCAGCAAGAGTAAAGCCACCCACAATTTAATTCTAGCAATCAGAATTGCTTATCCCAGTGGAGTGACTGTTCAGTGCAACATGGAGCTTTTTGCCCAGGTTCATTAGTTAACATTTATGGTTACACA